AGAGAAGAGAAGAGAAGAATAGTTGGAAGGGACCTACAAAGTCATATTTTAAACCATTTTTTCCCCAATGTTAAAGAAATAATTTTAAAACAGGCCACAATTCAAGCATCAGACTAGAAGAAATGAGTTGATTAGTCCTTAATTTACAGTTTATTCACCCCACCTGCATTACTGGGGTGAGGCCAGGTCAGGCCAGACAGGGCTGTCCTGCTCCACATCCACAACATATTTTGGTAAAGATGGATCTTGAAGGAAGTTTTTTCTGTGTGTTTTGTTGCAGATAATAAGAGTTTGACCATAGGAGTGTTGATAACCATCCTGTGCCTTATCTTTGCTGGATCAATCATGTACCTGAAAAGGAAGACTTTCATGAGATGGTTGTTTACAAGTAAGAAGACAACAATAGAGAAATTAAGGTATGATCATTTTCCCTAATTATACTTTAATAGATCTTAGGGAAAAGGACCAATAAACACAGCAGTGTGAATATGTTAGAGAGCCAGCCTTGACAAAAATATTCAACAAAGGATTAACTGCAACATTTTCCCTGGGTTAGTTTAATTTCATTGATAGCCAGTAAATAATGTAGGTATTGGTTTGAATATATCCCTTTCCTTTTGGGATAAAAAATTTAGCAGTGATGGAAGTATTGCCTTTATTTTCATTTGCTTGAAATAGTTTCATTACATTGTGTGGCCTTTTATCTAAACTCATTGGAATGAGCTGAAACTTTTATATTTGAGGTCATTACTGTTTAAATGTTAGATTCATTAGAATAGTCTCGTGGGTGTTACAAAGCTGCATTTCCACAGATTGCAGAAGCTAATTTAACAGACTACTGGTTTCCAAAAAATCAATATTTATTTTTATTCTTGCAGGAGCACTAGACAATTTTTACTTTCCTTGTTTACTATAACAAGTCAGAAAGTCCCTACAAAATCTCATTCTGAAAAGATGCTACTGTTTAAAAAAATATAGATGTTATAAAGCAGAATGTTGGGTTCAACAAATAAATGTTTGCATTGCAGGTCTGTGAGTCCAGCAAGACCTTCCAGTTCATCTGAGCCTAATCACGTACATACCACAGCTATTAGTAAAAATCTCATCACGAAGCCACAAAACACAACCACACAAAAAGTGAGTCCCTAAATAGTTTAAAAAAAGCGGGGGGGGGAGAAGGGGCAGGGCAGGGAATCCATATTATGTATCATATATATTATATTATATATTATATATATTTAATTTATTTTATATAATGAAATTATTGCATGGACTTAATGTCATGTAGAGCTAACAGTAATAAAATGGGAGAAGATGTAGGCTTCAAAATTCATTTATGGCTTCCAAGTTTAAGACCAGTGTCAAGTGCAGAAAAGAAATATCTTTGTGTCCAGGATAGAGCCAGTTCTTACACCAGAACATCAGGATGGGGGGGGTTAGTGGTTGAATAGGACTCTGGAAGCTGTTAATTGCTTCTCTGGTTGCAGAGATATTAAAGATGGATCAAAACAGACCAGGAGAGAAAAGCTAGGGAATAACATGGATTTTAAAGTAGCAATAGGCCAGGCTGGACGGGGCTTGGAGCAACCTGGTCTGGTGGAAGGTGTCCCTGTCCATGGCAGGGGGTGGAATGGGATGAGCTGTAAGGTCACTTTCAACCCAAACGGTTCCATGATTCTGTGTCAACTCCTGAAGTTTATAACTTTTGTTTGGATGTTTTTCCACAGAGAGATGGCCCCAGACGGCCTCTACCCTATCAGATCATCGACATCAGCAACCCTGTGAAGACACACGATTTGCCACAACTGAAAACACCACAGCGAGTCCTGCCACCCCTTCCCCAGCTGCCAGGCCACCAAGCTGGGCCTGAAAGACCCTTGCCAGCCAACCCTTCACTGAGGTTCTCCCAGGTAAGCACTGATTTTCTTCTATTTAGTATTTACTCTGTGAGTATCTGCATGTGGTGAGGAAAAGTGAAGTGTTTACTCATCTTTCATGCTACCCTTTTCCCACAGTATTTCCTTTATGCTTTGTAGGAGTTTAGAAACGAGGTGTAGATATGTTGCTTTATGGTGGCTGGGGTTGCCAGCCTAAAATTTAGGATCCTGAACTCTCTTTTCACCACCCAAAAGACACAACAATGCAAGCAATCTCCATATTACAGGGAAATGCAGGCTCATCTCCCCAGCTGCCCAACCAGAAGGGAAACTGTACAGTTTGTTAGCAAGGTGCCAAAAACAGTTGACAGAGTTTAGGAAGGTAAGTTGCAGATGTGATGTGCAAGAGCAAAAGGTGTATTAGCTTGGTGTGCTTCTGCTCTGCCAAGGGGTGCATGAACTGCATTCTGTTTTCCCAGAGCACAGATCTGAAGAGCAGGCTGGTAATTACCCACACTATTTCATGCAGACACACCTTTCACTGCAGTGTTTAAATAGAGATGGGAAACCTTTTTTTTTTTTAAATTGAGTAAGATGCATCTGAAGGCAGTAGTCAGGGGACATGAAGTTGTCTGTGCAGTTGTCTACACTAAACAGTCCCTTTTCTTGTCACTGGCTGCTCTCTTTTGGTCACATTTGTAGCGTGACTGTTTCCTAGCAAAGGAACCAGGCACCCAGCAATTTCTGTTTTGTAGACATTGTGCTATTCTGGATATGGTACAAGGTTAAAATGAAGTGAATGTTGTTAACACCAGGCTATCTCCTGTGAGCTGCTCTGAGACACTTTCCCAGTGATTGATGGGAGGATTTGGCTGTGAGACTCAGTGCTGAAGTGATTTGAAAAGTGGTTGGAAAAATAACAGAGAAACAAACAGGGGTGAGACAGGTTGCCCAGAGAAGCTGTGGCTGCCCCATCCCTGGAAGAGTTCAAGGACAGGTTGGACGGGGCTTGGAGCAACCTGGGCTAGTGGAAGGTGTCCCTGCCCATGGCAGGTGGGCTTTAAGATCCCTCCCAACCCAAACCACTCTGTCATTCTATGAGGCAGCACTGAGCTCCATGGCAGGCTGCTTACATATTGTCACAGAAAAAAACTGTATCTAGTTTTAATTTTCTCTAAGTCTGGATATTTAATCACTCAGGTTAGACCAAGTTTTACAGCTGTGTCCAGTTTATTAATTCCTTTCAAGGTATTTAAGCTTTTTCTTCTTCCCTTGTTCATCCTGCTAGTCCATCCCCTTTTCAGGGGAATGGGAAATACTGATTCTTTCTAAAATCAATTTCATAGGAAATCTGAAATAGTATTGGTTTCTCTTACTTGTCTTTAGCTCCAATGGTTCATGTTCTTACCTCTTTAACATTCTCCATAATTCACAAGGGTCAAAATTAGGATTTTAAGTGCAAGTGCTTTTCTATTTCCTAAGCAGAATACAGATAGATAAAAGGCTTTCCAAGAAAAAGTAACCATTTCTTATTGTGATGCTGCATCTGTTCCTGTCCCAGCATCACTGCACATCATAGCAGCCAAATGCTCCCCTGCAACTCATGTTCCTAAGTGTCTTATGCTCCAAATCCCACACAAAGTGCAAGGGAGAATACCAGATCTCCAGGACTATCATTAGCAAAGACTGACAGATCTGAAACTACCAGAAAGCTTTTAGGTTTGGCAGCTCAAATTAATTGTGACAGTTACTCCATCAAGAAGAATATCACAATTTTCAGCTGCTGCATGAAACAGAAGTAGGACAAACAAGGGATCAACTCAAAGCAACCTAGAGAACAAACAAGGATGGCTTCTTTCAAAATTATGTCCATAATCTCAACATTGCTAGAAACATCTACTTTTTATATCAGAGGGGACTCTAGGGGGAGAAAATCTTTTATTCTGAGATTAAGGATTTTACTCCTTCAAATCCTGGAAGAAGTAAATGAGCATAAGAATAGCTTTGGATAGTATCTATAGATAGTAATTAATGTATTGCTTCAGCACTCTCTTGGAAGCACATCCACCAGGTCATCAAGAGGAAGCACTTTAAAAATCATTGCTACATTCATAATGTCCTCCAGATGCTCAGTTCTGCAGGATGGTGCTGAAGAGGAGCATCCAAAAACCCATTCACAGCTTCTGTGGCTCCGCAGCTGCCTCCTTCTCCCTTCTGAGAGGTGTATTTAAACATGAGCTACTTCCTTGTGCCTCTGGGCTTGGAGAGCTGAGGTACCACATCCTCAGTAGACTCTGAGACAACTCTTTTCCCCTGTAATGGTCGAGACAGAAATTAACTAATTATTAAATTATTATTTTGATATAACATTTCCTTTCAGACATAAGTAAAATAGTTAAAAGACGCCACAAAAAAACCCAAACAAACAAAACCCCAGAAATTCTTTAGCAAATGAGCTGTTGCCAAGTTTCATGTTTAATAAATAAACAGCTTTTTCTTCTTTTAGATGCTCTTGCAAGGCAGATAAACTTTATTTGCAGGCCAGACTCACAGTCGGTATAAATCAGCACAGCACCACTGAAGGTGCAGGTTTATCCTAACTCTGGGTTCAGTCCAGGCCTTGGATTTGATCTCTTCCTTTTGGTTTTGTTACTCTTAGCATTCTGTTGCTGCCCCTGATACTGTCATCATCTCCTTACCAAAACATATCTCATATTTTACAGCTCACCCCTAATTGCAGGAAATACAGCTTTGTGTTTTTACTTTTCCTCCAGTAAAACTGAGCTGGGCTCAGCTTCTGCTCCTTCTGCCACAGTCACCCCTGGGAATAGCTCTCTTGTGACACCTCAGCCTGGCTTTAGACACTGAGGCCTTACATAAATTAAGTTCCCACCTAAACAGATTGAGGAATACCCCCCTTCTCACCCACTGCATGTCAGGCAAGAACATTCTTCCAGTTGCTTATTTAAAAATCAGTGAAAAGAAGAACAGAAATTTCATGCACCTGATGTCTTGGTAGCTGCTCAATATGAAAATTACCTTTTTCATGGCAATATTTAAAACAACACTTCCCCAAAACCAGAGACCGAGTACATGACATGCCAAGTTTTCAATATAAGACTGGACAAAGAAATCCATCCCTAAACTCTTTGTATTGAAGGGCTGAAGCTCTGTAGGGGGGAAATGGGCTTGGAGAAAGGAGAGAGGTGGAGCAGGGAAGCACAGCCACGGTCTTCAAAGGCTACAGCAAGTTCCCACACATGTTAATATACAAAGCTGAATGAATTTGGATTCTCCTGTGGCACACAAAGAATATAGAAGACCCTCCTGTATTCACTCAAGTACTAGTAACAGTTATGCAGAGAGTTAAAAAGAGGATGGACATTACATGCAATTTAAAATGTAGTTTGTGGCAAATTGAAATTACTGTATATGAGATTTATTGAGCTCATGTATTCTCTTCCTTATGAAAATGCCTGTGGATAGTCAACCTGCATTTCCTTCTTGAAACAGCAAACGTTTGCCATGAAAAGTAAGAAAACAAAGGGATGCTCAAAACAAATAATGAAAAGTACTTTATTCATGAGCCATTGGTGCTCTGATCGCTTGTTTTGATTACATCTTGCAGGGGACCTTTAACTAGATTACGCTTGTAGGCTCTGCCTATTTCCTTTTGGTTAATTTTACTAATGATAATTATGGCAAACTAAAAATAAAGAATAAAATTCCTTGGAAAAAGCACAGCTATGCAGCTCAAACAGCAGAAAGATCTGAAGTGAGTTTGGGGATATATTAGAGAGTTTTTGTGTGCCCTGACTGAGCCACTTAATCTGTCCCAGCTCTTCATAATGAAGACCACAAATAGACATGTTACCATGTTTGCAGGGCTCCAAGGACCACCCAGAAGAGCCATCTGACAGCAGATGACTTCTGTTCTTTATTAATGAAGCCTTTAATTCCACAGAATGAAAGCACAGCAGCATCTTTAAAAAAAAAATTCCACAGATGCTACCAATCCAAACCAGACTGGAGCAATTTGTCTTTGTGGTCATCTGAATTTCCATTTTAAAGTGATTTCTAATATTTCCATCTTTCTATATAACTACTTTTACAAAGTTATATATTTAATTTTTGTTGTTTTCTTTTACCACCAATTAATCATTGACCCCAGGAGAGAGGCACCCTGTATTGCTAGAGTAAAGAATCAAAAGAAACAAAATCATTAACATATATTTTAATTTATTCAAAAGAAACAAAATCATTAAAACATTTGTTTTAAAACGTATTAAAAATAAGTCATGGTTTACTCATTTAAAGATATATAGTCACAGCTGCCTCAAAATAATCTGCAGTTGAGGTTCATTTAGATAGTGGTGGTGAGTCACTGTGAGAGTGGTGAGGCTCTGACACAGGTTGCCCAGAGAAGCTGTGGCTGCCCCATCCCTGGAAGTGTCCAAGGCCAGGTTGGATGGGGCTTGGAGCGACCTGGGATAGTGGGAGGTGTCCTTGATGATGATCTTTAAGGTCACTTCCAACCCAAACCAGTCTGTTACTCTATGAGTTTATCTCAGTTGTTGCTGTGTTAAGGGTGTTCTGCCAGTTCTGAGAACTAACACGACCTTGTTTTACAACAGGAGCTCCCCAAGCCCAGCCCTCCTCGGAAGCCTCTCCCAGCAGATCCTCTGACCAGAGCGCGCAGCTCCTGCACAGCCGTGCCTGGACACACAAAGGCTCTGCCTCAAGTCACCCCTGCAAGGTCAGTCCTCCTCCTCATGAATACCTTGATTTACAGCACTATATGTCTAAAATGTCTCGAGTAATTATTGCTCAGAGCCACACAGCAACCATTTTCTGTTTGCTTACACAAAAGCATGTTGTTCCCACTGGGAGCGTGGCAGCACAGTTGCTCTGGCTTCCATAAATATGAGAATTTATACCACCTGTGGGGGTTTAACTGCAAGCACCCAACTGTATGTTAAGAAAAACTCACCAATAAGTACAATAACTCCCCAAAAAATGTCCTCTTCAGACTCTTGACAGAATTCGACTGAGAACTGAACGCTGCTAAGATCAACCACCAAAAAAAGCAATTTCCTGTTCACACATTTCCAATCTCTATCATCTGAAAATAATATCCAAAATGTTCAGAAAGCACACAAATTGTACACTTAAAAAACGTAAACTATGGTGAAAAAAAAATCTGGAAGTAGAATAACTATAAGCATAGTCAATGGTGTTTTCTTCCGCGATATTCTTCACTTTCATTTGAATAAAGTGAGCTCCAAGGAAGATAAAAGGTGTTTTAAGCTGCAGGAATTCTACTTAATTAGAAACATTAAAAATAGAATCAATATAGTTTCCTAATATTTCTAACAAAAAGACTGCAAGAAGGAACCTTAACTCCAAACTCCTGGCTGTCCATTCTAGTCAGATGTTCCGAAAGCAATAACATTTTAAGCTGACTACTACAACTTTTGGAAACCAACTGGTATTCTACAACATTAAGTAGCATTTTTGAGCAGGTACAAAACTGATGAGCACCCAAAGAAATAAAGAGTTTAAGTAACATAATTTGCAATTTTCTTTCTTTCCAACAGACCTGCTCCCAGACATCCACCACAGGTAACCAGGTCCAGCAACGCTGTGGATGTGAAGTGACTGGAAAACCTGACACCTTTGTTTTAAAAAGTGAAGACAGACGTTTGCACTATCTTTCAACTCCAGCTGGAGTTCATTTCTATGACAATACTTAGAATTTTTAATGTTTAAAACAGCATTATTTTTAAGAATTCTGAGCTACTGCCTTTGGTGCTGTGCTGTGCTATGGTGCTCTGTATACTTGCTCAGGTACTTGTAAATTATTAATTTATGTTGAATATTTATTACAGTGCAGTGCACTGTAATAGATATTTTTACCATAGCTGAGTTTTCCTAAAAAGGAAGCCTTTTTTTTGTAATATTTCACTGAACTTGAATAATTCTGCTCTATTGGTCCTATGTAGGCTTTTTAGTTTTGGTCTATTCTTTGAGGAGTGTTGATACTCACAGATAAATCAAACGTGTAACCAACTCAATCTCAGTGGATCAGAACAAACTTTGGAATAAATATGTCAGGGTACAAAGGAAAAATCTGTCCTGGAACACAGTGAAATGCCTGATATCTGCACAAGGAGGTGTAACATGTACTTAGCCATAGGCTCACTCCGTACTGTAATTTCATGTTACTGTTTGAAATCATGAAGAAATCTGTGCTGAAAGAGAATGTATTCACAAGTTCTCTCACTGAAGAAGTACTGTATATCAGAAAACTGTATTTTTTTTAACCTCATTTTCCTCAAACACCACATGGTTAGTACATATTAATGCAGATATCAGGCCTCCCACTGTCATCTCCTTTCTGATGCTTTGCTAATTCAATTCAACCACCTCTGTTGCATCACTGTCCTGATCACACTGACAGCACACTACAGGTATGGGGGAAAGCCAAGCATTACAAAGAATTACATTTTAAGACTCAACTATTATACTTATTTCTTTTGCCTCACCGCTCTGCTTATCAACTGTATTTTGCATATTTACTACTGTTTTGTATTTAACTTCTACAGTGTTGCTCTGGGTTTCTTGATTCTTGAATCAAAATGTGTATTTTGGTTATCCTAAGATGTGGAAGAAAATAATTCATCTCTACTTTGTGGCAGCACTACAGCTGATCTCTTCTGTACCTTCTCAGTAGCACTGCTGAACACAGTTGTTTCACCTATGTTGGAACGACAACAATTTTCAAATATCAGTTGAAACAGAGGGAGAAGAAACTAGTACCTTATATAGGTTGGTTTCCTCATTGCTTGTAGTTTTTGTTTCTTTAAGCAAAAATAAAAGCATTGACAGAAACTTGTATCTCCATTCAATAAGTGTAATTGTATTTCATTTTCCCAGTTATTCCCCACTGCAGCAACGTAACCCTCATGTTTATTGATAAACTAAACAAACCAAAACAAACCCCAGCTTAGTTTGTTGCTGAATAACAAAGGAAATGCTTCACAAAAGTATTTCAATTCTTAAAGCAACTCTTAATAACAACAACGAGGCTTTATATGTAGAGAATCACCAGAACAGGAAGATGCAAACATCCCAGGATCAGCAATGCAGGTGTATTTAAAGCACTCATTTCTTCTTTATATTTAAAGTGGAGGAGTGAGGGGATGTCTCCATTTGAAGCAGCCACATGATCTCACTTTGCTCAGTTGAATACTCCCATTTTTAGAAGGACAAGTCACGGTGCTGTATCAGAAAACTTTTGCTACCTGCTGAAAACCATAAGATGAAACTGTGAGGAGTGAAAGAAGGTTGTGAAATTAAAACTAAAAGTTTGTATTACTGGCATCAGAAGTTCTAACACCTGAATTTGATGGCAGCCACTTAGGTAAGACTTAGCACGTGCATAAACTTCAACAGGACCCACATGGGCAATCTTAGATGTTTAGAAAATAAAAATATCCATATGGGACACCCTGTCCCTGTCATGCTAGCAGCCATCTCATCAACACAGAGTCAAGTGTTAAATTTATTAACTATTAACACTTCTCTAGAACAAGCAGCTGAAACACAGGTATCCAGTGAAGAGGAATTTCATCTATGACTATAAGAATGTATTGTCTACCAGAGTTCTTGTCTAATCTTAGGCATGGCTAAACCTAAAGATTTCTAGTAGTTGGAAAAAAAAAATCCTAATTCCTTATCTGAAACAAAGGTAGCAAAGCTCAAACATCCTGTGAAAATGAGCATTACTTGACACCAACAAAAAGTACTTACTGGCCTACTACAGACTGAATTATTTCCTGGCAAAACAGACATGCAGGTGCAATGTATGGAACAGCCAGATAACCTGGAATCCTTCCAATTAGCACCATATGCATATATATTTATACATATTAGGATGAAAAACACTACCAGCAGAAAAGGATGTGCAGCTTTTTGGGGGGGGGAATGATGAAGGATGCACGACACAGGTTGGCTGACACCAAACAAACCATCAACTGCCTCTTTTGTTTTGGGGGAGTTTTACAAGTAGTAGTATGAGCAGGTGATGGATTTTGTACCAAATTATTGTCTTTATGATTAGACATGCAGATGTCATGTAAAATTCCACAATGGTTTTATGTTCTTAAGGGCAGTTTAAGCAAACAAATTAGGGTGGGATGCACCAGGATGTGAAATTCTACGTGTGCTACTCGTTGTGTGGACCTGTAGTATCTGTGTCAGCACAGGCTTTCAGTCCTGTCATAATAAATTCCTCTACCTCCATGCTCAGCAAACTTTAACTTCTAAATCACCTTTAATAATTAAGATACCTCAGCCTTTAAACCCTCAGTATTTTATAGTGCTCAATTTATCTTCGTGGGAGAGACACTTTATCCTGATTCTTCCTTTCTGTTTTCTTCCACACACATATTCCAGCCTCCTACCTTGGGAACTGGTACAACCAAGCTCCTTTTCCAGAGGCAAGGCAGGAACAGAGTGTGCTCTCCCAAAAGCACTGCTGCCATTATTTTAATCAATAGAATAGGAAGTACAAAGCACCAAAGAAAAGGAATAAATAAGCAGCAAACAAAAAGAAAATTGCATATTTACCATCTTTCTCCCCATCAAATCGCTTGGGTTTAGTATTCTTAGATTGTTTTTAAAAGCTAACAATTATCAGAGTAGCAAGATTTATCTTTTTTTAATTTCATGGAATATTTTAAAAGCCTTTTCAAAAGCTCAGAGAAAAAAGAGATACAGAGCTTTTTCCCTTCATTTCAATTCTGATTTTTCTGATCATTTGAGTACACAATATTCTCTTGTATTAACTTCCAATCGAATAACAGCCTTTGTTAATTTAACTATAAATTACCATGTAGCAGCAAACAAGTTCATTCTTTATCTGTCTTCCAAGCATTCCACAAAATATAATTTTCTAAACTCAGTGATGTTAAAACTCACCATGCACAGAGACCATCCTTCCATGTAACGATACCACATGTTGGGAAAATTTAAGATGCCCAATAAATTACAGGCAACTGCCCTTGTCATATAATATTTATAAGAGAGAGAAATTAAAAGCCTGACAAGAGGGTACAGCCAGGTGGGGGTCAGGCTCTTCTCCCAGGAAACAGGAGAAGAGGAAACAGCCTCAGGTTGGGCCAGGAGAGGTTTAGGTTGGATATTGGGAAAGAATTCTTCCCTGAAAAAAGGAATTAGAGGTGGGTTTTTTTGCCAACACAGCAGGTTTTAAGTTACATGTGCACTTCTAGTAGGATCTTCCAGCAAATAGAGTCTGGTAAATCCAACACCAAATCTGCTCATTCTCAAGTTCTACGTCTCAATAAATGTATCACTAATTATATTTGGTGTTTAGCCTATGTAATTACCCAGATGGTTAATTACCCAAATTTCTAACTCTTGCAAAGTTTCCTAACATGAAATCCAACTTGCAAGGAGAGAAGGGCATCTTTCTGCATGTACATCTGAGAACATGTAGCAAAACCTAAAAATTCTGTCCCATAAATTGCCTTTTTCTGTGCCTTTCATTGGCATATCACTGATGGTTCTATCTGTAGGTATTTCCAGGATATTTTCCTTCTATTGAACAGAATTGAAAAAGGAGAAGCTTGATAAATCAAAGGAGTATAATTAAACCAGGAAAAGCATCTCACTGAGGAAAAAAAAGCCATTAGCTGCACTGGCTCTCCTGCAAACTGAAAGCACCAAAAGCTGAGCACAGAGAGGGTGCAGTAAACCCAGAGTATGAAGTGAGTGCCATTAAGCAGAAAGTCTCACACAGCAGTTCTGTGGGAGGGATTACAGAGCAGAAATTCAGCACCACAGAAGCCTCTTCCCTGCCTCTCCATGGGCCAGAAGTGGCTTTGGGCAAGTGCACTCCACAGGTCACTTCAAGATTTTAAGTGTCTGGCACTGAATGGCCTCGCATTAGCTGCAGTCCCCCATGCCAGCAAATTTATAAAGCTCCCACTTCTCTGCCCTGCAGGTTTGGGCAAATTTGCAAGAGCAGGGGAGTCATTACCTGCAGACCCTTTGCACTGCAGAAAGTGTAAGCAATATATACATACTGCCACCTTTATTTTACATTCTTTATGTGTGAATGACCCTGTGGGGAGAAAATAAATGCCTGGTTATGCAGTATATTAGATTATGCTTGATTTGGAGGAGAGGACTGATTTGGGGTGGGGTTGTTTTGTTTGTTTGTTTTTTTTAAAGCAGCTTTAATTTTGCATTTTTCAATGCTTGACTTTGCAATCTTGATGTTAGTTGATATAAGACATCTAAGACTACTTTTTTAAACACCCAAATCACAGGAATTATACCTTATGGCATAGAATCACAGAATGGTTTGGGTTGGAAGGGACCTAAAAGATCACCTAGTTCCACCCCCCTGCCACTACACCAGGTTGCTCCAAGCCTCATCTAACCTGGCCTGGCATTCCAGACTCTTTTCCACTTTTTTTTTGTAATCCCCAGTAGTAATAATGGGCTTCCAGAAGCAGCAGTGGGTAGAAGAGAAAGCATGTGTTTGATGATCAGTGTCCCAGAGGATTGCTGCTCTCACTTTGAAAATTTTATGCAATTTGTGTTAAAATAGAAATATTCCTCACCAGTGCATAGGAATTACCCACCATTTCTCTCTTCCCGTGTTATCAACGTGGCCTCTTACTAAAAATGAGTTGACATAAAAGTACCATTTCCAGAAATAGGTCTGAAAATATCTCAGATCATTTATATCAGATTACTTTACTATTAAAGTTGTAAATTACTTTTTAATTCTGAAAACCAAAAACTAATATACATATGTATATATTTACAAAAGTACATCAATTTTAGCCTAATTTTCTGTAAGAATATTAGGTGCCTTAACACCTTGAACATATTCTTCACTTCTAGAGCTGAAACTAAATTTGCTGCACAAGCAACCCGTGATTGGAAATAAAGAAGCATCTCCTTGGAAAATTTAAAGATGAGTATTAACAAGGTTGGGTAAGAAATGCTAATTTTCTGTTTACCAAAAAGGCAGTCATGAAAGCAAAAGAAGTCTTGAAGAAGAGAGGGAAGCAGTAGAGAAGCAAAAAAATAATTCAGCGTTTAGTTTCCAGCAGCTTAAAGACAGTTAGTAATATCCTCAGGGGAATGCCAAAAAGTGTGTTTGTTAATTTGAATTTTTTCCATCTAACTCTGCCTGCAAGAGGGTTTTGCTATAAGAAAACAGAGGCTGTAAAACCCATAGATGCACTAAAATACAGGAGAACCCATTGAGGAGGAGGCTCAGTTCCATAATTTAGAGTGCCAAGGACCCAGAAACCTGAACAATAGAGGTAAAACAGCCAAGTTACAGCATCTAACTGAGGTTCAGTATTCATATTTTCACTCTCTTAGTAGGAAAAACCATCTGAGGCACCCACCTCTGAGCTGGGAAATAGCAGCTTTTCTCATAGTTTTTTCTTCTTGACTCCAACAAATTGACCAAGCTCCAAACAAACCAAAATCATAACAAATGGAGAAGGAAATACATTCAAAAAAGTAAACCCAGAATCAGAAAATCTCTAGACAGAGATTATTCGTGTGAAAGTTTCCAGTCTTCCAGGAGCCCATTATGATACTGGCAAAAAGGACAGAATAATCCTTTTCTCTACAAAAAGGGAGTGATAGCTACATTAAACCTTAGCTGTCTGATTTTTAACAGCAGTTTATCCTCAGTTATTCCAGCAGCTAGAAAACAAATATTCCAGTATTATTATGCTACTAATAATAATTAATTACTTAGGAATTATTCTGATATAGATGATCT